ACTCAAGGAGACCGAGTCTGACATTGCGTCTACAACAATTTATACTACTGCTTACTAGCAGTGTGGCTGACGGATAGTAGTACTGGTACTATTACTGAAGCTCATAATTTTTCAGAAATGACACTGATTAGAATCAGAGCTGGGCTCGTGTTCACTCGATGTCAACTAGTAGTTGGGACCTGGATTTATACCTTTCCGAGTAAAGAATGTGTTTGAGGCTCGGAGCACATCCATTCTTGTTGTGGTTATGGTTGACGAATGAGAGCTCAGTAGCCATAAAAGGCTCGCATTTGCTATGCTTTCAAGTGCCTACTTCTATTCTTAGAACACACACGGTTAGTGGCGGCTGTCACCGCACAAAAACGGGACTTTGAGTCGGCCAATCAGAATCCATACACATCATCAGTGCGTACTTTCGTGCAAGGTCACTTGTGATCTTATATAAAATTTGACTATGCTCACATCTACACCTAGTCTAGCTGTCATGTCAACTCCGCAAGCGCAGCTATTTGAAGACGAATTGCCGTTGATCCGCAGCTGCCCTGCCCTCAACGAGATTCGCAGTGCAGAGCAACTTGAAGACCTCACCATCGAGGTAAGTTAATTTGGCTTCATTACAGAGACTTTTGTCTGGTAGGTAAGGGACGGTGATCGGTTGCATGCCCACATACTAGTGCTTGCAGCCCGCATTCCTTCCGTACGAGCAGCTGTCATTGGGTCTCCCAAGGAGAGTACTGCGGTCCTGCGATGGCCGACAGTGCCTCTAAGGTAAGCTCTTTCATGGTTTTGCATTGTCTAGTCTCGCTACTTCACTTATTAAGTATGTGTACACCGGTCAGCTGGAGGTGACACAGGCCAATGCAAGGGGCCTGATTAAGTTGGCGAGAATGTTGAAGCTGCCAGTCGTGGAAAATTGGGGCACGAAATACCTGATCCACACGTAACTGCTTATTTATCTCTTTACCTCAATAGAGTCAATTATGAAAATTTAACAACCATTTGGGACTTTGCTAAGTTACTCAATAACGACGCATTGATGGAAGCCTGTCTCCGGCGAATGGCGGCACAATTTGAAAGCTTCATTTACAGTGAAATGTTTGTTCGCTTGCCAGCTAGCGCAGTGCTGGCTCTGCTTCAAAGTGACAGACTCGCAGTGAATTCTGAGGAGGAAGTTGTGGCTGCCATATCACGGTGGGCGACTTCTTGTAAGGGACTGGAAAGTGAAAAGCGGGAACTTGATGTTCCGCAGTTGCTGAAGGAAGTTCAGTGGCAGCAGACATCTGCGCAATTTCGAAGGCGCTTGCTGGACTACAACCCAGTATTTCGGATGAGTTCCGATTGTGCGTAAGTGCCTATTTTCCAGTTTCTCTATTTTTGACTTAAAGTAGGCTTATGACTCAGATTGAAGTGTGGCTTGGGACTTCGGCCGGGGCGAGTCCTCCTTGTCCTTTCAAGCAACGTATAAGACCATCTCAGGAATTACTCGTGTTTGGGATAAATAAAAATCAGAAGGGATGTGAGGTTCTTCGTTTCAACCCCCATCTGCACAAGGAAGAACTGGTTTCTAGCGCAGAAGCGCGCCGTTTCGCCTGTTACAGTGTCGTGGATGGTGAGTTGTTTTACATATACTTTTACCTTACCTGGCATACTGTTTCGAAAGTATTGGAAAATGTAAGGCATTTGGTTAGGTCAGCTCGCGTCATTATTTTGCAACTACTAACTCCTGCTTGGTTTATATTCAAGACCTGAAAATTTTAGTCGGTTACCGGCGGGGCTCGATAGGGGTATTCTATGTGCACGATTTACTGGGCCTCCGTAACACATGGCAGATCAGCGACCGATAATCCCTATGTTTCATTCAGACTTTTCCCTGATCTGAAGTAGAAAATACGATCACTGGAACTTGCCTCAAGTTTCGGATTCTGACTGGAACACTTCATCAGAAATAGCCGCAGAATACATGCGCACTACAAATGACAGTTACCATTATTACTGCTTGGGGTCGTAATTGATGCGATGCTTATTTATCAGTCCACTTTCGAGTCATTAATTGCCACAATTTTATTATCCGCGTTGGATATTAACTTGATACTTAAGTGACAATTAGGTTTACTGTCCTCAGTATTGTTGCTGGGCCGCGCCCTTCCCACAAGACTGATTCTGCTGTTCAGACACTGTCTCAGCACGGGATATGAGAACGGCAAGACATTGCGCGGGTTACTTGACTGTGGACCTATGAACCATGATTCGAACAGCTCGCGAATAATGAGTTTGTCCCCCCTTGCAAAGATCTCGGCTTCGTTAAATTTAAAAATATGACCAGGTCCCGGGAGTAAGCGTCTTTCCTCCATGCCAGCTCAGTAATAATTTGCGATGACAGCCAACCGAAGGGTCGCATTATTAATAGGCAAATAATATTGCCGACAAAGACAAGTGGACTGGAATGGTCATTCCCAGCCTATTAGCCATCGTCAGTCAATCATACCCAAACCCAAGTGTTGTTCCGCTCGAGCCTTGAAGTAGTGACCTTTTTGATCAGAGTCTGACGCCCTAACAGTTGAGCCACGAGTTCATTGTCTTGCCGGTTTAGGTCATGTGATATTGGCAGTCGTTGATGAACACTCACCTGGCGGCTAAAGGAACTCATCTGTCCCGCTCTTCCTACAACTACCAAATGTTGCGGCTCTCAGGACATTTGTAGAGGCTCAAGGCAGAGCGGGAGAGATGAGTTCCGTTAGCAGTCAGGCGAGCGTTTATCAGCGAGTTTCGCTTAACTATCAAGCCAAAATTCAACACGGACAATGAAAACACGACAAGTTATGACTCGTAGGCGGCTTGCCAAACCATAATCGTATGATTTACGACCGCCAACGATCACAATGGGAACTGACATTTGTAGTGCTTATGCGGCCGCGTGACCGCTGTGGACTATAACAATTGTGCACTTTGAACATTTATCACCCCGATGAAGGGTTCAAGCCAGAATCCACAACGTCACGCAAATAGGCTTCTTCCAGTCATCGCATCTTATACTTCTGAACCGCTTCTTTAGTCTCGCCTGCTCGTTTCTATCAGTTTACTTTATCTTCCCTGGCCTTCCAGCGCAGCGCTGGGGACCTACTACCTGCCCAACGCCTAAAGTGTTGCTTCTTGCGCCTGCCTCCTATTCAGAAGGGCCCTGTTTGTGTTCTGCAACTGTTCCTTCGTTTAATTTGCAAAGTTTATTCGGCAAACACATGTTTTTCAGCAGTTCATCATTAGGCCAGTACAATCACAGAAAATAATGGGAATCGTACAGGTGGACAGGGCCAATAAGGGTCTTTTGATTTACAGCTCATCGTTTTCACGCCGCCCGCATTGCGAGGTTAGTGTCCTTGTGCTAGGGGATTGGAGGGAAGGGGAGGAAATTAGGATAGGTTGTGAGCGTTGGTCATGGGTCAAGTCATTAGGGGGGGGTTATGCGATCGCCACCTGGCGTTTGCGTCGGCCACAGAAGGGAAGGGGCTTATGTTAGCATCTTCTGACAGCACGGACCGTCGATCTTTATCGACAAACTGCAGACTGTGTCAGTTCAGCCATTCATACGCATATCAATGTGACTCCTAAACGGGTCATGTGATAGATACGCTGGATCAACACGGGGATGGATCAGGGTGTGACAGGGTTGCATTCTCATCACAAAATTCCAACCATGGGACGGCCTCGTAGCCGCATATGGGCGGCTTCGGCCACCCGCCCGATCCATCCTCCGGCCTTCTTAAATCTTTCTTGATATCAGGCACAGGTGAGTGAGGTAAATGCGGTGCAAGTGGACTCTCATTAAAAGCCCACGTGCAATACACCGTGGTTGCCTTCGGATTGCTGAAGCATCTGGACATCTTCGTAGGACGAAGGAAGCCGCCTTTTAATCAGGTCGAAATACCTTGTCAGCAAGCATAATTACGTCATCTCTGCCTTATCGATTTCGTCTAACCACTGCCTTGTGTAAACGGGTCGCGAATTCATGATTAAAAAGTCGATTTCGTGTTGTGTCCTGTTTATTTTAGCAACCTAAAATGCACAATATGACAGTTCAGGCGTATGTACACCACAAACCGGACCTTTCAGGGCCTGGGTAACTTTTACAACAGACTTAAATGTCCATTTAAACAGATAAAAGAGTAAGTAAGTGCTTTTGGCAGGCTGATCATACAGAACGTACACGCACGATCGTTGTTTCAGGGTGATATTTTGAAACTGCGGAAATCACACTCGGAATACTGCCGAGGTGCATGACTAATGTATTTTCTGCTGTTGTGAAGCACATTCTGTCTTAATTCATGTTTCGATCAGCACAGATGGTTTGAGTATCAGTGTCCCCATGCATGTAGTTTGTTCTCCGAGGACACAAGCTGCATTACTGCTGGCTACCTGACCCTTGCATCTGTCTATATCCAACAAAAAACAGATCCTCCTTTGTCTAGCGCTTGAATGTGATGCTATGAAGGGGTGGTTTCACGCTTTTCGCCTAGTATATAACCCAAACTTTAGCTAGCTGCTGTGATCACTGTTCGTATTTTTTTACTTGGTAACCGTATATTATAGGACGCACCACGGAAACTTGAAAATCATGTTGTGCGGGAAAGGTGCTAATAAGGGTTATATGGGTTTGGCACTATAGCGGTGCGAAGCAGAAAACAAAAGAAATCAAATCAAACAAAACAGGAAATAGTAGGTAAACGTACTAAAAAAGCGGATATATTACAATAAAAGCATGCGATAATTAAAAAATAAATTGAAAGAGATTGTAAAATAAATAAGTAACGTTAAAGTACCAATAAATTACCATAACCAATGGTCAAGTCTTGCAGAATTCTGCAGTTTTTTTTCCGTGGTGAGCCCTATAATAGAATCTTACCCTTTCCTGCATCTGATTTTCATTACAGCCTCTTGACTTAATGTCAAGTGTGCTATGCGTCCTCTCTCGCACCTATGCACTAAATAAAAGTAAAGAAGATAAACAATTAAGTAAATTGGTTAAATTAATTAATCAATAATAAGCTAAAATAACAAGTAATTCATATTACCGCCAGTTGCGCATGACAGAATTCTGGGATTTTATTTTCGGTGGTGAGCCCTTTTAGCCCTTTCTGGAACCAAAATTAGTTACACAGCCTCTTAACTTGATCTCACTTACGTTATGCATTCGTTTACCCTCCTGAAGGGAGCATCTTCGTAATTGGCGGCCACACACCACAGCAGGCTGGTTCAACTGCCGTAGACGAGTTCATAGTGAGAGAAAGGTGCTGGTGCCAACGACCGTCTTTGGCCAATCGACGCCTAGTTGCCGCATCCGCAGTTGTCAAGGTGAATGATGAGCACAGGGAAGGTGAACAGAAGGCCCTGATTGGCGTTTTCGGTGGATCTTATAAAGCGGGCGCCAGCTGGAGCTATCTTGCCGCCTGTGAGGTGTTTGACGTCAAACAAAATAAGTGAGTATATTGGTGACGACACATTTCAGTTATTTTTGCCCTGTCTCTCTTCTTCTCACACTTGCTTGCATTATTGGGCCAGGCGGCATATCCTAGATGCTATTGCTCTTGTGGTCCATTCTGTTCTAAAGTTTGTTGTGCGTATGCAAGTGCATTTACGGACTACTCTTCAGCCTTTGGTTCTCTGCCACAGCATCTTCTTCTTAATTAAACCTTCTCATGCGGCCCCGGCTTTCAGCCAGAGGAATGTCGCAGGCGAAAATCCATGGTCCTTTCCAATAACTACCGAGTTCTTCCAGTTTCGATCTTATGCCCTCGCATCTTTTCCCTCACACTGACGACCCAGACTTGGTAATTAAATGTTTGTATGTAAAAGAGCCGATGGTCATCCTATCAAATGTCTGATATATCTCCAGGTCCTAAAATATGGCCTGGACCAGGTTTCAGCATGTGCACTGTCCAATAATCTTATACTGAATACCCAGAAGTCAGTCTAGTGCGTTTTCCAATTGTGATCCATTCCAGTCCTGAATTCTTACATGTCCTTTTAATGGGGTATCCTCTTTCCGGTACCTTGGTGTTAATTTGACATCTAGTCTTTAATTTACTCCCCCAATTGTAATCCTCTTCATTAAAGTTAGTAAAATTCCATAGTCAGTTACTTTCTCAGCACACGCCCCAAGCACCATTCTGGCGATTTTTAGATGCGTGCATTCTCAACCACACATTCTCTACCGCTCTCTGATTGATTTTCCCAGTCTTGCCTATAAAGACTTGTACATTATTAAAAGTATCCTCCGAATGCTCTCTTCAACTGCTGACGTTGATTACGGTTTTTTAGCTGATATTATAATAGAACAACACCTTACAACGGTAAAGCAATATGCTGATATAAGGTTGCCTATCCCATCCACTCCGAACTAATGGCTGTGAAGTCTTCCCGTTCTAGGCGCCGAGGCTTCCGACATATATCCTGCCGAACCTCAGCACATCAGCACGTTGTCCTCCAATTCATAGTAGGCCTTCGCACGTGTAAGCATACAGAACTCCAGAAGCTGAGACTAGACCTGTTATAGCCCCCACTTCTGTTGTGATTGCATCGGTTGCTGCTTCCTATGCTCTTGTTGCAGCTACGTCTGTCCCTTTTGTTACTGCTATCTCGATTGCTGCTTCTGCTTCTGTTGCAGCTGCCCCCACTTCTGTAGCCGTAGGTTCGATTGCTGTTGCAGCTACATCGGCTTCTGCTGCCTCGGTCACGGCCTCTTCTGCCTCTTTTGCTCCTGTGGCTGCTACTTCTGCTGCCGATTCTTCTGCTTCTGAGACTGTTATTGCAGCTGCTTGCTCTGCTTTAACCGCTGCTATTGCTTCTGTTGTTGCTTTTGTGAGCCTGTCCTCCAGTGTGTCCTGCAGGCACTTCGTTATGTCCTCAACGCCTGTCGGGTTCCAGCGGCAACTGTGCATTTCTGCGACGAGAGCCATGACACTGGCTTGCCATGCCTCCCTTATCTTCCTTACTTGTACTGGGCTAAACATTTTGTGCTCGTTTGTGTTGCCAGTTGTTATGTCCCGTACCAAACAACTGGACCTCACCTGCGTCGCCAATTGTTATAGCCCAGTATTTGGAACACGACTAGTAGGCAGAAGAGAACTCAAAGCCGGTTCTGATCGTAAGAATCTTTATTCAGGATAACACAGAGACAGCGGAATCCTTAGCTTCTCCAATACAGCCTATTTATGAGGCTCTGGCCTTCTAGCATACTCCTAGCCCAATAACATGCGACCGCTGTTATGGCCTGCCACTGATCGATATTTTGCCGCGCTGTGTGAGTGGTCGTTACGTATGCCCTCTAATCGATAGCTTCTCACGCTCTGTGAACGGTCGTCGCGTGTG